ACATATGTACGTGTTGGTAATGAATGTAAGTTCAAGGCATCTGTGTACCATATACTGCTAAAGCTTTGACTAGTCACAACGAATTTGATGTTACCTGATTTTAAGGAGTACTGTTGGATCCATATTAATTTGTAGATATAATAGAGGTTTTGTCACAGAACTTCCACTAAGCTTAAAATGGCAATTTGGATTATCGGATGTTGGAGAACTCAAGTATCGTTTTAGCAGACAATTGTTGTTGTTGCTGTTGTTGTAACGGTTTTCTAGTCCGTGTTAAGATGGTAAGGTTCAGGTAAGTTGTCATCCAATAGTATGCACAGGAAACGCGCTGTTTCGACGGGGCCGAACCGTAGGAAGAKGGATGTCAGATGTGTAGGGTTTGCWGCGCATTRGGTKGTTAGTGTCATGYGGGGATTCGTTGTACGCTGRATATATATTTGATACGKCGAAATTGATTCTGGATAAGTAGGAGTTTAACCCTACACAATRTTCAGAGCGAAGCTGCGCAAGGTTTACTTTCGATGCTCGCGGCAACTCGAGCTCTTCGACTGCAATGGGAACGCATAGGAACGATTTCCACAACAACCTGTTCTACGTTACTGGAATCTAGCCAAGGGCTGTACGTTCGGAGACTTAACTTTGTTTGGATCGGTAAGTTYTAGTTGGTGGTTCCTAAGGGTTCAATTGGCTCTGGGTATTAGGTCTATGTTAGTTAAGCTACCTCTAAGCTCTGTCGATTCTTTGTCCAATCTACTACTAAAATCATGAGTTTGTTTAACAAACAGGTTTCCTATTCTATGTTGCTATCTCTGAATTAAGRTTATGAGGGAAAGCTTAACATTCAATTTATCTTTAATCTAAACTGTTCCACTGAAATATAGATCGTACCTTATGGGATTTCTAAAAGGATTCGTTTCGTTAAGTTAGGTCAGCTTTGCGTTTCTCTATCTCACAATAGATATTTCCTGACCCAGTCTATATGCAGTCCATTTTGCAATACTTTTGGGGTAGATTATGTCTCACGGATGGTATATCTCACGGAGATACATATTTATTTATCCGAGTCGGTATCCCACAAAGGTGTCACCTTTTGCTGTTTGTCCCAGTGTTAGTCCAAGTATGTAAACAAAAATTAAATCATAGAAATGAATAAAAAATTAAAACTACAGTTAGTGGGTACTTCGGGTATTTGCGGAGCGAGATGAAGCTATGCCTATTTATGTACGCCAAGCAATTACTTTTGTTACGCATAAATTGTTGGCGGCTTTACCACTTAATTAAAATGTTGAAACTCCATTTGAGTTATGCCAGCTCCACATTTCAGGTTTCGTATTATGTACTCACTCGCCTCTAATGAGTTTTCTTCCTTTGGCCGAACGTGTGCGCGCCTTATGCGTCGGTACCTAGCTTTATATGAATGTACGAGTATGTGTGTAGAAAGCAATAAAATTTTTATTAATACTCGTAATTGATTGCTAAATTGGTATACAACTATTACATCGGTAATTGCTGTTTGATTAATGATTTTCACTCGATTTGGGAAAACATTTCCAAGGTGTTAAATTGTAGCCGCTTTGAAGTTTGCCTTTGTCCTTTTGCGTTCGAAAAGGTGCGCTTTGTTCAAAGGTGTTAATAATTAACATTGGGTCTTGGCAGTCGGCACTTGAAATGCCTTGAAAAGGGTCAATAAACCAGGAACGCAGGATCAACTTTTATATGCCTACCATTTATTAAACATTTCTAAATTCACAGTTTGCGCCAGTCGCGAGTCAAATTCATCATTTGATTTCGAATTTTTTATGAAATTTTGTAGATTAGCTGGCACTTATGTTCAGTTATATTATATGATAAAAGGAGCATTATTTTCTTCATTTGTTGTCTCACAAATCGATGATTTGTTCCAAATGACGTTCAACCTTTTTTGAAAGAATTGCACTCGACGATTCTACAGTGCTTGTAAAGGAACGTTCTAGAAAGAAAAACAATTTTTAGTTTCACCGGTTAGTTAGCTTATGCCAAATCCATTCGGTTGATATTTATTTGACAATTAAAAATTCC